ATAGACCAGATGTTTGAAAGGGCAGACGATGGCGGCGTGCGGCTCGTGGTGCATCCTTTCGGGGAGGCGTCTACCTCGGATGGGAAGCGGAGCGTGCCGTCCTCAGGCCCGTGCGGTTCGCACCTGCGCCCTTTCCCTCCGGTTCAGAACCTATTGTTTCTCCTTTCAAATATGTGATTGTACTAGCTCTTTCCATATGAAAGAATTCTCCTTATTTAAATAAAAAAAAGGTTTAAAAAAATAAAGCTGAACATGCTTTCTGAGGCTGTGCCCTTCCTGTCTCGGTCACGGACTGGGGACCTACAAGTGGAAAATCTAGCTGTGGACACAGGAACGAATGGGGGCAAAGGAGAGGTGGGAACCTGTGGTGAGTCCCCTCCGCGCCCGGCCTGGCCTCACGTGAGAAATGGGTGGAATGTTCTTTTGCAGGAAGTAGGAGAGAGTTACGCTAGGCCTTGGGGTGGGGGTGGGGACAGAGCAAGCCAGGCCCATGGCAGTGGTGGGTCAGGAATACTTCTGCTTGTTCGAGGGCATGTGTGTGTCGGAGAGGGAGAAAGCTCTCCACAATGGGGCATGGTCACCGTGGTCTCTTCCATTTCTCCATCCGGTTGGGGTTTTGGGTGTACACACACACAAGCCTGGTGTCTTTTTTTCGAACTGCCAGGACCAGGATTCAGCCGTTCAGCCGCGTGAGCTCTGGCTGGCTTTCCCAGCAGGCTATGGGGCCAGCCCGGCTGAAGCTAAGATAGGCAGTAGTTCTTGGCTCTGCCACTGCCTAGCTCCACGACGCTGGGGAAGGCAGCCACTGCTCATTCAGTTTCCTTAACTAAAATGTGTCCTGGGACCAGCAGTCGGAGCAATGGCTGTGTCGCTGGACTCCCATGTAGTCGACTGCAGTTTGAGTCCCGGACCTGGTGGCTTAGACTCATACTGGGCGCGTGTGCATGCCCAAGATCCTGAGAAGATGGAGAAGGGATTGTGGCGTGGCCATCTCCCCTGGGGGGTGGTTTCTCGCTTTCTGTCTGTCTCTTTCTGGGGAGGGCCCACGCCCTATAGCAAAAACCTCTCAAAAAAAAAAAAAAAAAAGTCCTTCCAGTACCCACCTGGGTGGGTGCTACAGATTCGAAGAGCGTGGGGCTGAGAAAGCTAGAAAACAAATTACTCCCAAAAATGTGTGGCCCCGCTTCTGAGCCCCTCAACTGTGGGAGAGTCAGCACTCTGGCTCTAACTGCCACCACCAGTGCCCAGATTCACTGCCCCTGGGGACAGGAGGGTCACAGAACTTAGCAGACCTCTGCCTGCTGACAGTCTACCCCTGGGATGATGGGACCATAGCTCAGGGCCCAGCCCCACTCCTTCCAGGGACCCAGAAACCCCTCGTGGGTAAGCCAGGAAGATGAACCTTCCTTTAATGGTTTTTCTTTTTCTTTCTTTTCTTTCTTTCTTTTTTTTTTTTAAGAGCTTTTTGCCTTAGGGTGCAAGCTGGAGAGAGACAGAGACCCTGTCTTTCAGACAAAGTCAGAAGTCACTCCCCATGGGCAATCCCTTCTCCATTTTCTTCCCGGGATCCTGGGCATGCACACAGACACCTGGCGTGATTTCCACAGGATAGGACTCCAGGATCTCCAGCCCGGTACTCGAACCCCAGTGGACCATGTGGGAGTCCACCAACGTAACCGCTATGCCTTTACCCTTAAACATTCTTAACTGGTGACATCTTTCTTGGGGGGGGGGGAATTACAAAGCTACTTTCAATACTTTGGGGTGAGCCCCACAGGAATAAAAAACACTAGGAAGAGGTAACCCCTCACCCCCAGGAGTGGCCCAGAGGGAGAGAGGCTACCTGAGAGGAAGGAAGCACAAAAGGGACCTGCTACAGACTCAGGGCAAAGGGAGTGCCGTCGTGCTGGGACCTGTGAGCACAGCAGGAGGAAACGCGAGCGTGGTGGCACTGGCTCTGAGTCCCTCGAGTCCCTCTGCTTGCGGGCAGCAGAAAGCACATCATTTCGGCGCTTTCCCTTAACGGAGTCGCTCTGCTTTTTCATATTCTGGCTGGCGAGCTCACGCTGGTTACCGCGGGTCATGGCGAGGGCAGCTGCTCCGTCCTGGTATCATCTAATGTCGCCTTGCCCACAATAATCTGCAACAGTGAGGAACCATAGTTGGTTACTGAACCTGCAGCATCCTGCTGAGAGCTTAGGTCCCTCTGCCGGGCATGCTGCTGTCGCCTACTCCTGGAGGCCCGCCGCTCTTGAGAATGCAGGAAGCTACGCAGTCAGCTAGCCAAGGCACCAGGAGGGCCGCAAAGCAGGCCTTTGGAAAGGCAGAGCTGGTAAATAACGGGGAGCAGCTCTGGGAAAGGAGGAAGAAGCCAGTCTTCTGCCCGAGCGGCGTTCGGAGGGCGATGTGCGGCTTGGCTTTTGGGTGGCACTGCAGCCGCGGATGTGTGGAGACGGGCGGAGCCCAGCAGAGCAAGCCCACGTCGGTTTTCAAACCTCCCCCGCGAGCGAGGAGCACGCGCATGCTCGCCAGCAAGAAAGCCGTGCAACTGCGCCGGGCGGAGGGAAGACGCGAGGGGCAGGGTAGGTGGGAGCCGCCCGCTGTGCCTTTCATGAAAGATGCTCGTATGCACGGAGCACCTGGAGACCCCGGAATGCCAGAGCAACGAATGACACACCAGGGAGGCCAGGCCGGCTCCCACACCCTGCAGCCCCTTTCGGCTTGCTGGCCCCGCGCCCTCTCCCAGGGCGCACGCGCAGCCGTGGTCTCCCAGGGCGCATGCGCAGACACTCGCGCCCTGCCCGCGGGAGCGGCGGATCGAGAGCCCAGAGAGGCGGCCTTGCCCTCAACGGTCGCCTACACTGGCTGCTGCGCAACGTGGGCGGCGCGGGGAACGGACCCCGGGGTGTCGGCGCAGGGAGGGCGGGCTGGCTGTGCCGAGAGGGGCGGCCGGGCAGGCGCAGCCAGGGGAAAAAGACTCCGCCAGGCAAGGGGTGCCCCGGGGGTCTCTGCTCCGAGAGAGCGGGGAGAGGAGTGGGCGACCAGGGCAGAAGTAGCCTCGGGGAAAGCAGGGGCGCCCAAGGTAGATGCAGCCTGGGGAAAAGTTGGGGTGTCCCCGGGGCAGACGCAGCCTTGGGAAAAGAAGGGGTGCTGGGAGATGCTGTAGGGTAGAGGAGACGGGGGCCGCCGGACAGATGAGGCCTCAGGCGAGAAGGGGGCGCTCAGAGCACACGGAACTTCGGTATGCTGATGCGGGCCCAAGGCAGGTGCAGCCCCAGACAGCGGAGCTCTAGGAAGACGAAGCCAGAGGAGAAAATTGGGGCGTCAGGTGGAGAGCTCTCTGGGCAAGAAGGAGGGGACAGACGAAGGCACTTGGGGGCAGATGTACCCAAGTTACCAGGCCATCGGGGCCGCCCACAGTCAGCATGGCTGGCCACAGGGCTGGGAGCCATCGGCGAGGGACCACAGAGGCCACCATGGCCTGTGGGCCTGCCACTTCCCCCCAAGCTCTCAGGTTGTGGAGTGAGCCCCTGAAGCAGGTGAATGGCCAGGCTGAGGGTTAGGAGTTCTCCCCGGTTTCCAACCCCAGGGGTCTCCACTGGCATTTGCAGGCGGCCATGGGGCAGTGGAGGTGTCAGAGCCCCACTAACCCATGGGTGCATCTGGGGCCAGGATGCCTTGGGGTTTTTCTCAGCCTCTGTGCACCCTTTGAGTGCCACTGCTTCCTGATGGCTGTCTCCTCCTTTTCCAGGGTGTCTTCCGGGCCTGCTTTTCTACAAGATGTTGGGGTTTTTGAAGCGCCCTGTAGTGGTGACTGCTGACATCAACCTGAATGTGGTGGCTCTGACGGGCCTGGGGCTGCTGAGCCGGCTGTGGCGACTCACCTATCCACGGGCCGTGGTGTAAGCCTGGCGACGGTATCCCTGGCCTTTGTCCAGAGGAATTGTAACTTGTGGCAGGAAGTGTCTTTTTGGACAGTGTAAATGGGAAAGTGAATTCTGGGCTTGGGGTGATGGATTTTTTTTTTTTTTTTGAGAGGTTTTTGCTATAGGGCGCATGCGCTTGCCAGACAGACAGAGAGAGACAGAGAGACAGAAAGTGAGGAATCACCCCCCAGGGGGAATGGTCACGCTACAATCCCTTCTCCTCCATTCTCCTCTCGGGATCTTGGGCACGCACGCACACGCGCCCGGCGTGAGTTTTAAGCCAACGGGTCCGGTACTCGAACCGCGGTCGACTACGTGGGAGTCCAGCGACATAGCCATTAGGCTAACTGCTGGTTCCCAATGGATTTGTTTTTATTCGTTCATGCTCGAGGGGAAGAGGGAAGAGCACCCTCCCCCGGGCTCCGTCTCACCCTGAGTCCCTTCCTCCAGTCCTGCCAAGGTCCTGGGCCCAGGCACACATGTGCAGCATGTCTTCAGGTCCGCTGGACCAGTGACTCCCAACCGCAGTCAGCATGTGGCTTCCAGCTCTGCACCAGAACAGAGGCCGAGCTGCCAACGGGTGTTCTGTGCTGTGACAGGAAGGACCGTTCTGTCCCCAGGAGAGCCCTGCACAGTGCACCTTTCAGGTCTTCTGAACAAACAGTACACACGTACGCCTGCAGCAGGTACAACGAGACCCTTAAAGGAATGTGGCAGAGGAGAATCTGGTTACCAGCCTTCAGGCACCATTTTAAAACCAGGATGGCAGGGCCAGTAGGTGGCATAGTGGTTAAGGTGCTGGACTCTCACATGGCTGACCATGGTTTGAGTCCTGGACCTAGAGGTTTGCTTTCTCACTTTCCCTTTCTCTGTCTCTGGTGAACTCCCATGCCCTTTAGCAAAATTTAAAAATAATAAAAATTAATAAATTTTAGAGATTTTTGTTACAGGGCGCATGCCCTTGCCAGAGACACAGAGAGAGACAGAATGTGAGAAATCACCCTCCAGGAGGGATGGCCACTCCCCGATCCCTTCTCCTCCATTCTCCTCTCAAAGTTTTGGGCACACACACACATGCCCCACGCGTGAGTTTTAAGCCTATGGGTCCAGGACTGGAACTGTGGCCAGCTACATGGTGGCCCAGTGATGTAACTGTTACACCATCTGTCAATCCCTAAATAATTATTTTTAAAAACCGGGATGGCAAAAGATTAGTGGATCGGGCAGTGAGACTGCTCGGTGGGTTTTGGCTGTGATGGGAAACGATAGCTATTACTGAAGCGTCGTTACTAATATTAACCCAGTAGTACAGGTGGGATTTGATTCAACCATCTTTTGTTGTTGGGTTTTTGATTCTGAGAGGGTTTTGCTATAGGATGCATGTGCTCACTGGAGAGACTGGAAGCGAGAAATCACCTCTCAGCGCAGGGGCCACGCCACGATACCTTCTCCATTCTTCTCTTGGGATTTTGGGCTCACTCACCTGAAGTGAGCTTTAAGCCTCCGGGTCTAAGACTCGAACTGTGCTTGACTGTGTGGGAGTCCAGTGCCTTAATCACTGCATCACCTGCTGGCCTCTTGGTTTTTTTCATTGCCAGGGGCAGTGGAGGTGTGCGGGGTACCCCCTTCTCATACTTCTGTCCCTTTCCTCTGTTTTTCCTGCCTGTCAGGATTTGGGGCACACATATGCATGTGCCTGCCATGTTTCTCAGACCACTGGGCCTGGGATTCAAACTGGTCAGCCCTATCCTATGGCGTCCAGCTCCCAATGCACAGTGTCTAACCCCTGTGCTATGGGGCTGGCCCTTGTTTTTGTTATTCTGTTTATTTATTGAGAGTAGAAGAGACAAGCACCCCCAACACAGTCTTGCCACATTATGACCCTCCCCTAAGCTTTGGGCCAGCCAAACCATGTTCAGGTTGACCGGGGATTTGAACCTAGAACCTTCCATATGGCTCCAGTATTGCACAGCAGCACACCATTTGTATACCACTGCAGGGGTCTGGTTAACTTTCTGGTTATAGAAAATACCAAACGTATACAAAAGGACGGAGAACAATACAACGACCCTGTTACCCTGTTAGGCAGCTCTGTTTGTAGCCAGTGCCCTCTTGAAGCAAATTCTAGACCTTAGGGCCCATTCAAAAGTAATTCAGTTTATTTCTCTAAAAGATGAGAATCGTTTTTTTTCTCTTTTTGGAGAGGTTTTCACTATAGGGCGTGTGTGTGCTCGCCAGACAGAGAGAGACATAGAGACAGAAAGCGAGAAATCACCCCCCAGGGGGGATGGTTATGCTGCAATCCCTTCTCCCCCATTCTCCTCTCGGGATCTTGGGCACACACGCACACGCGCCCGGCGTGAGTTTTAAGCCACCGGGTCCAGGACGCGAACCGCTGTCGACTACATGGGAGTCCAGCCACATACCATTACGCTAACTGCTGGTTCCCAGAATCGTTTTTTAAATTTGCTATGGGGCACATGCGCTCACCAGAGAGAAACGGGGTTGAAAAAGCCGCAGTCCTTTCTCATTCTCCAAAGGTGAGGATTATTAAAACCAAAATTCAAATGACCACACCTAAGAAGGAGAGCAGCCCCCTCCCCCTGGTCCTCGGTTATCCCCGATTTTCTGGAAAGGTTTTACTGTTGTTGGGACCTACACATCTCCCTCCCACACTGGCTCACTGGGTTTCATTCCCACTGGAGGTCACAGGTGCTTGTGCCCAAAGGCGGGGTGGGGAGGGGTGGATAACCCTGGGCCCGCGAGGTCTCTGAGGACGATGGCGGCTAGGCACCAGGGTGAGGGACAGACTGGATGGGCAAGCATCATGTGTTAGCCATCCTCAGCGCGTCCTACCTGTCCCATGACCGATGGTGCCGCGAGTGTGCCGACACTTGGGGACCGGTAGGGTTGGGGCACGAGTGGAGCTTTGCTGTCACTCACGGGCAGTGGTGTGGAAGCACTTGTACGTGTGTCCTCACACCGCGCGTTTAATTCGGATTAGAGTTTAGAAGCTGGCTGCCACCTTGGGTGCTGCTGCAGAGCTTTGCGGGGCCAGGCCCAGGTGGGGAGGGTCCGAGTTTACATCAGAGACCTTCCTGGTACACCAGGCACGCCCATGCCGTGGTCTCGGACTGGCTGAGGTGCAGGCAGATCCTGTGGGTGGGGCCAGCAGGTGGCGTGGTAGTTAGGGTGCTGGACTCCCACATGGCTGACCGAGGTTGGGGTCCCTGACTCATCAGCTTAAAACATGCTGGGTACGTGTGTGAGCGTCCAGATCCCGGGAGACTAGGAGAGAGGGGACTGTGGCGTGGCCCGCTTCCTGGAGGGTGCTTTCTCACTTTCCCTCGCTCAGTCTCTGTCTGTCTCTTGTGAACATACATGCCTTAGGGCAAAAACCTTTCAATACAAACAAACAAAAGACCCTGTTGGGATGCTGTCTCCCCTCTGTCTCTTGTTCATGGAAGAAATAAATAAACTTTAAAAATCCGCTGTAGTTGAGCATAATGTGTGTGGTTCTCCCCAGCTTTGATGAAGTGTACTACGGGCAGTACATCTCTTTTTACATGAAGCGGATCTTCTTTCTGGACGACAGTGGCCCACCGTTTGGCCACATGCTGCTGGCTTTGGGAGGTAGGACTCCTTAGTGGGGGTGGGCAGTTGTGGCCCTTCAACCCTCAGGCACCTTAAAACTTAGCCGTGACATTTCTTGAGGGCAGAAACCATGTCGTCTTCACATGTTGTTCCTTCACTGCCGGCCGCAGAGCTCCAGAGGCGTTTGCTCATAGTTACTGGTGACTCTTCTGTTTTAGGCTATTTAGGAGGATTTGATGGCAACTTCTTGTGGAACAGGATTGGAGCAGGTAAAAACGCATTCTCCCCTCTGTTCCAAGTGTGCGCACGTTAGCACAGAGAGGTGGCTCTCAGGGGCATTCTGCATTGAGGCCGTGGTTAGCTGTGTGCAGGTGGAAGATTTAGGAAGTCTGGGAAGCCTCGATCTTTAGTTACGGAGATGGTCTTGTCCCTGGCTTTGGCAAGTGCATCCCGTCTCGTGCCAGTTACCTTCTGCACGTGTAAATCCCGTCTGTTGCCACGATGCTTCTGGAAGCTGGTGGGATAAATGCGTCGTGGAAAGGTTAACCTCGGAGCCTTCTGTCCTGTTGTCCTCCCGAGCGCTGTCCCTTTGCTATGCAAAGCTGATTTCAGAGCTGCAGCCCACAGTGTCTTGTCGGTTGCTGGTGGGGTCCCCAGCTCGTAGACTCCCACGTGGGGTCTGAGGACAGCCAGGCGGTGTGTGCGGGCGGCGTGTGCTCAGTGCTGTCAGCCCCGCTGAGTGCGCGCTGCCTTTCCAGAATACAGCAGCAACGTGCCCGTGTGGTCCCTGCGCCTGCTGCCGGCCCTGGCCGGGGCCTTGTCGGTGCCCATGGCCTACCAGATCGTGCTGGAGCTCCGCTTTTCCCACTGCACTGCCATGGGGGCCGCCCTCCTGGTGCTCATCGGTAAGGCGGGCCCTGCCTGTCTGGGTGCTGTGCAGGGAGGAGCTGGCGGGGCTTGTGGGGCTGTTGGCCAGCTCATCTGGTTTGTCCAGATCTGACTCTGCGAGTCTCTGCTCCCAGGCTGTCCTGGCCGTGGGGTTGCTGAACTGCGGGGTCAGACTCTCACCGGTGCAGGCGCGACTGTATCAAATGGGGGGCCACCCAAAGGGTGCCCCAAGGTCCACATCTACCCCAACCAAGGTTGTCCCTAAACGAAACTTCACCACCTCCCAGGCTGGAGCCAACCTGGATGGACTCCTGAGTTCTGGAGACTCCAGGAAGGGCCTCAGCTCGGGTGTGCGAACAGATGAGCATGGGTGGGAGGTCCCTGAAGAGCGAGAGCACCCCTGCGGGGGCCTCTGAGGCCGGGCCCGTGGCCGTTCCCTTCGTGGCTGCCCCGCAAAGCTGGCGTTAGTTCTGCACGCGAAACAGGCCCCGAGGGCACAGCCTGCCCAGTTCAGTCAGGCCTGGCAGCGGTGAGCCGCCTCGGCGCCGCCTTCATGGCTCTGGAGCATCTCCCTCCCGGGCTGTCCCATCCGCCTTGCCCTCACGTGGCGTTGCTGCCGGGGTTAAGCCCACCTGCGAAGCGTCAGTCCCCCCCTCTGCCGACCTTAAACCCCACGTGTCTCTCCGACGACAGAGAACGCGCTGATCACTCAGTCGAGGCTGATGCTCCTGGAGTCGGTGCTGATATTTTTCAACCTGTTGGCTGTGCTGTCCTACCTGAAGTTCTCCAACTCCCAGCGACACAGGTGTGGAGCGTGGGGAGCACCTTCCTAGGAGACAAGGAAGGGGACCCGGGAGCGATGCTCCGAGCGGTCTGGTTCCTTGGTACTTGGGGGGTTGCTCCCCACGCGTCTCCATCACCTAATAGTTTCGGATTGTCCTTGGCCCGTGCCTTCATCAGTACATCCCCATTTTGCTGTCACTTGAACTAGCCGAAAGCAACTTCTGGGGAAAAAGAAAAATTCTGCCAGGCCTGACCTTTGGGAGGTGGGAGTCTCGTCGGTTTTCCATGCAGCCTCCGCGATCGGCCAGCCCAGACCATCCCTCGGCGTGGCGAACGTCCTCCGGCCTGTGGGACAGTGTCTGAGCGCGCCCTCGCTGCCTCTGCTCTGTTCTCTGTCCTTCTAGCCCCTTCTCGCCCAGCTGGTGGTGTTGGCTGATGCTGACGGGGGTGGCGTGTTCCTGCGCGGTTGGGTGAGTTGGGCGTCCCTGGGTGGTGTCCTCGCCTCGCCCTGCTCGGGTTGCCGTGTCTGACTTGCCAGCAATCGTGTCTTTTCAGCATTAAATACATGGGCGTGTTCACCTACTTGCTCGTTCTCAGCGTTGCAGCCGTCCACGCCTGGCACCTCATCGGAGACCAGACGTTGTCAAACGTAGGTGCTGGCGTTGCGGGCTGTGCTAGGCTGGCCTCAGGGAGGGCACAGCGAGTGTTTCAAGAGAAGGCCAAGCCTGCCCGGCTTCACAGGCCGGCAGGGCTGGGCAGCCTCCCCTGGCAGCCTGCAGGGGGGGGC